GAGAAGTGCAAAGTTTAACTAAAGATGTGTCCCAACTTTTTTTTGTTTTGCAGTGCCATATCTTTCTATCACTAAATGACATACCATAACACTCACAGCACTTTAAACACAGTACATAAACACTAGGCATTAGGATGACTTTTCATTGGCTGGTCTAATTATTTCATTGAAAATCACTTGCAGTAATAGACTTCAGTGACCATATGCAGGGCTGCAGTGTGGGAGCCAGCGAATAAACAGTTTGAACTGATTCAGTAACAATGCAAACAATAAGAGAGCTTGTTGCCATTACCAACACAAAAGTACTTGCTCCAGTCAATAACAGATGACTTGCTGAGGATTTCTTCTAGAACAGCAGCATCAGTTGCAAAAAGCAGTGCATCTTTGAAGAGGTCACTCTTCTGGAAGAAAAATAGACACGTGATCTGTATTGGCATTTAAACAATGTATTGTGTGCACGCAAGCCCCCCCCCCTGCACAGACAGTACCTGTTCACCGTGTGGTTTGCACATAATGACGCGGAACTGTGGCCACCTGTCCACTAAAACCCGTACAGGGTCGGATCTGACTCTGCTTCTGAGCACCAGGAAACCGTAAACCTTAAATTAATTCAGTAGTTGGTTATTTGCAGTACATTCAGCTCCTTGTCAAAATAAACATATAACAGATTTAACCGAGCATACCTGCTGCGACATGGGTAAATATTTCTTCAGCTCGTTTTCCGCTGTTTTTAACTGATCTTCGGACAACTCAAAAGCCATTTTTCTCCACTCAGGAAAAAAAAGTGAAGCGTACAGTTCGGTAAATCGCGGAAGTGATCGGAAGTCGGGGGTCTACACGACGACGGAAACGTTAGCTGGGATTGTTTCTAAAGGCTGAGGTTGTGATTCACACTTTCGAGGCTTAAAGTTGAAGAGGAGGCACAAAAACACCGCCCCCACGAATAGCTCACATAGTAAATGATGTTGATTAACTTTCAGATTTGTGAAGTTTAGAGATTTGGTGCCACCATGTAAGTCCCCATGACAGAAACTGTCCATCATTTGTTTTTTCAATTTGACAATAATAATTACAGATTTTTAAAACTTTTTTTTAAAGCAAATGTAGCCTAAAATGCCATGTCCATAGCTATCTAGTTTTTTCTTGAGTTACCAATATAAGTTATATATTAAAATTAATATATGGATAAATAAAATAAATAAATATAATATTCTATACAATTTTTAAATGTTTAAAAGTATTTTAAATCTGTCGTGTTGCTGAATTGCCTGAGCCACCCCCCTAATTCCTTTTGATTTGTTCCCCTCCTTGGTCATCTAGTCATACAACTTACAGCGAGTTTTTTGGAGATAAAGATCATCTACCAGAACAAACTTGTCTGTCATTGTTTCATCAAAACAAAAATTTCATGTTTTACAATATTTCACAAATGCGTTAAAGGAAACATGTCCACACTGTT